AAGCTCTGTACACAGCCGTGGAAGAAATCATTCAATGCACCATAGCATGGGGAAAAACTACAATGTATGATCAACATGATTTTTCATCCCCTGAAAATGTTAACTGTAATGAAGATTATTTATCACATCTGATAGAAGTATACATTTGATAGATATGCAGGAGGAGATAACAGATATGAAGAGGATAGATATAGAGATGAGGATGATGGTATAGCTATGCCATTGGATCAAGATGAAAGGGGGGATGCACACAAATATGATGATATTTATCATGGAGATGAACGTCCTAATGTGCAAATATTTGGAAATACATCGCTGGACAGATATAGCAATCCAGTACTTGATACAGCAGTTGACAGATTTGATGACAGAGATCGAGATAGGTTTGGTGATCAGCTAATGTATTCACAACTAGACAGATATGGGAATGAGGAAGAAGCACAGCCTTTAGATGTTAGACCAGAAAGAGATGAAGATAGGTTCAAGGATCGTTCTGTGGATAGAGATTGGTATAATGATCAAATTCCCGCACCAGATATAATTGAAGATAGATATGTGGACCAATCTGTAGACAGATGTGGTGACACATATGAGGATCGTTTTGGAGATGTGACGGAAGACAGATATGAAGAAAGAAATGTGAATGACTTTGTGAATGTTCCACTGGAAAGTAGAGACAGACGTGAGGATATGGCTTCAGGTATAATGCATGATAGATATGGTCATGAAGATGATGGCAGATGCGATGATCAGGGTTTAGATGTAGCAGAAATTAGATACAGGGATAGAAATAGTATCGCATATGATGATATAGCTTCAGATGTATCGGAAGATGTGCTCAAGGATAGAGAAAGTGACAGATATGAAGATGAGGTTGCAGGTGTATTGAAAGACAGATATGAGAACAGAGACACAGGGTCAGAGGATCAGGGTCTAGAGTCACCAAAAGACATATATGAGGATAGAGATAGAGGCAGGTACGAGGATCATAGTCTGGAGTCACCAAAAGACATATATGAGGATAGAGATAGCGACAGGTATGAGGATCAGAGTCTGGTTTCACCACTAGACGTATATGAGGATAGAGATAGAGGCAGGTACGAGGATCAGAGTCTGGAGTCACCAAAAGACATATATGAGGATAGAGATAGAGGCACGTATGAGGATCAGAGGCTGGAATCATCAAAAGACGTATATGAAGATAGAGATAGAGGCAGGTACAGGTACAAGGCTCGGGATGTACAAAAAAACAGATACGAGGATAGATATCCAAATGAAGTTCAGGCGGCTAGAAATCTAGACACGTTTGAAGATCATAGTTCAGATATGATAGACGACAGAGATGCAGACAAATATGATAACCAAACTGCCAATGTTATAGAAGGTAGATATGAGGATAGAAACAGAGATGCATGTGAGGATCAGAGTCCAGATGTGAGAGAACACAGAGACAGAAGTAGAAACAGGTATGAGGATCAACCTGAAGATATAATACAAGACAGATATGGGACTACAGAAAGAGCAGAGTCTCAAAATGATGAATATATTGATCACCCTCGGGATATGCCACTGGACAGATATCAAGACAGTGAGAGATTCAAAGATCAACCTAGTGGAGGAAATACTAATAGAGGTAGAAATAGATATAGAGAAAACAGAGATGGTGTACAAAGATACAAGGGTGGAGACAGATATGAGGATCAGCCTGGAAGTATGCCTCTTGATAAGTATGAAGATGCAGATAGACAAGGGCAAAGGTACAGAGATAGAAGTGGAGAAAGACCTATTACAAGTAGTAGGGATCACTATGAATCTAGAAGACAAAGTAGATATGAAAACAAAGCCTCAAGTAAAAGTAAAGAGAGAGCAGAATATAGTGGTAGTGATGTACCAACAGACAGATCAAAAGGAAGAAATAAACACAGAGGCAGTTTTATATCTGAAAGCAGCAGAAACAGAGATGGTGATCACAGGGAATAT